TCAGTGGGAGGAATAGTGCCCCACTATTAGTATCAGTGGCAGGAATTATGCCCCACTGTTGGTGTTGGAAGGAATAGTGTCTCATATTGGTGGGAGAACTATTACCCCAAGAGCCGGTTAAAGGCTAGCAAAGGGCCACATCCGGCCCTCAGGCCGCAGTTTGGAGACCACTGCTTTAGACTACCAATTGCCTCTCCTCTATTCAACAATAGCGCCCTCTCTGGCCACTGAGGGAATCTCATTGAACAGTGGCATTGTCAAAATATTTTAATTGTCAGTGATTCTTAGTCCCCTTTCACATGGGCGTTCCATATGTCTGTGTGTTCTGTATTTCTGTAGACTAGCGGATGTAAACGGATGATTGTTAACATCAGTTTTTTTGAACAGAAGAAAACCCTATTTTTCTTCCGTTAAAAAAAACCCAGAATGGACGAAAAACAGATGTAAAGGGACAAAAAACGGATGTAAAGGGATGAAAAACAGATGTAAAGGGATGAAAACGGATGCAAAACTGATGAAAAATGGATGTAAACTGATCCGTTTTTTCTTGGAAAAAAAGTGACTGAACTGCTGAAAAAAAACGGAACGCCCGTCTGAAAGGGGCCCTACAGGCAGCAATTTGTCAGTAGAGCTTTATCATTGAACCTCTCTAAGGCTGCTGGCATCAGCCCACTGATACGTGTCACAACACATTGAAACTGCATTAAAAACTCAACTTTTATTAAAACTGCATCTCCACTCCTCTGAAACACAAACGCTAATGAGCACATTCTTTTTTCTGTCCATGACCCCTGAATAGTAGGTTTCCCTGTTGGACTGGTCTGGCCCGTCATCTGCTCTAGCATACCTTGGTGATCATTATAGACATTCCTTGTATGCTTACTACATGCCAAGTTCTATTGTAGCTCAACCACGGTGAACAACTGGGGGCTGCCAAGACTTGTTCTCACGGTCTGACAAACATTTCAGCCCATGCATTAGTCACACCCCTGACGGTTTTCCAGGATCCCATTTGGCTTGTGTTCAGCCATTGAAAAAATACACAAATCAGCCATAATATTATGACCACCCATCACACCCATCAAGGCATGGACTCCACTAGACCTCTGAAGGTATGCTGTGGTGTCTGGCATTAAGCTGTCAAAAGCAGATCCTTTACGTCTTGTACATTATGAGGTGGGACCTCCATAGATTGGACTTGTTTCTCCAGCACGTTCCGCAGATGCTTGATTGGATTGAGATCTGGAGGCCAAGTCAACACCTTGAACTCATTGTTGTGTTCCTCAAACCATTCTTGAATTCTTCAGACCAGGCCACCTTCCTCCATTGCTCTGCGGTCCAGTTTTGATGGTCACATGCCCATTACAGATGCTTTTGGCTGTGGACATGGGTGATCATGGGCACCCTGACCAGTCTGCAGCTACACAGCCCCATACACAACAAACTGTGATGCTCTGTGTGATCTGCAACCTTTCTATCAGAACCGTCATTAATATTTTCAGCAATTTGAGCTCCAGTATTTCTTCTGTTGGATAGGACTGCACAAGCTAGCCTTCGATGTGCATCAATGAGCTCTGGCTACCAATGAGTCTGTCCCCGGTTCGCCAGTTCTCCTGCCTTGGACCACTTTTGTTCGGTCCTGACTACTGCAGACCGGGAACATCCCACAAGAGCTGCAGTTTTGGAGTTGCTCTCACCCAGTTGTCAAGCCATTACAATTTGGCCCTTGTCAATTGCAGAGTTTTTGGGGGGGATTTTCTTTTCTATTTTTTTTATTTTTAGCCCCGTTCTCCACCGCCATTCCTGCTTAGGCCAGAGTGACTTGTATCTGGTTCTGCAGCCTCCTGGGATACTTACATGACATCTCCCAGGAGGCTGCAGGATTGGCAGCCAGAGTGTGGGTGGGGGGACAGTTCAGGGGGAGGGTCCAACGCATCATCCAAGCTGGCAGTCTACACCCGGAAGAGGCAACCAACTGAAGAGGACCAAGATGGCAGTGCGGAACCCACTACGTGGCACCCAAACCATGCAATGCTCGATACACTGTGCAGGCGAGTATGTGCATTCAAGAGAACTATAGCACTGCAGGTAAGTAGGCGACAACATGGGGGAGAGGGGCTAATCCCGCATGGTAGAAAAATATATTTGAAATATATTTTAAAAAAATTCTTCCCAAATATATTCACACATATTTGAAATGCTACAAATTTGTCCATATTCAATATATTTACAAATATATTTCAATAAATATATATATATATATATATATAAAAAAAAAAATATATATATATATATATATACTGCATGTTGAAATGGGTTTTTATTGCAAAATATATGAAAACTATTTTTAAAAATACATTTAAAATATACTGTATGTCTTTAAAAATACAAATCTACATTTTGTAATGCATTTACAAATATATGTGAAAATATACAGTCAGGTCCATAAATATTGGGACATCGACACAATTCTAACATTTCTGGCTCTATACACCACCACAATAGATTTGAAATGAAATGAACAAGATGTGCTTTAACTGCAGACTGTCAGCTTTAATTTGAGGGTATTTACATCCAAATCAGGTGAACGGTGTAGGAATTACAACAGTTTGCATATGTGCCTCCCACTTGTTAAGGGACCAAAAGTAATGGGACAGAATAATAATCATAAATCAGACTTTCACTTTTTAATACTTGGTTGCAAATTCTTTGCAGTCAATTACAGCCTGAAGTCTGGAACGTATAGACATCACCAGACGCTGGGTTTCATCCCTGGTGATGCTCTGCCAGGCCTCTACTGCAACTGTCTTCAGTTCCTGCTTGTTCTTGGGGCATTTTCCCTTCAGTTTTGTTTTCAGCAAGTGAAATGCATGCTCAATCGGATTCAGGTCAGGTGATTGACTTGGCCATTGCATAACATTCCACTTCTTTCCCTTTAAAAAAACTCTTTGGTTGCTTTTGCAGTATGCTTTGGGTCATTGTCCATCTGCACTGTGAAGCGGCGTCCAATGAGTTCTGAAGCATTTGGCTGAATATGAGCAGATAATATTGCCCGAAACACTTCAGAATTCATCCTGCTGCTTTTGTCAGCAGTCACATCATCAATAAATACAAGAGAAGCAGTTCCATTGGCAGCCATACATGCCCACGCCAAGACACTACCACCACCATGCTTCACTGATGAGCTGGTATGCTTAGGATCATGAGCAGTTCCTTTCCTTCTCCATACTCTTCTCTTCCCATCACTCTGGTACAAGTTGATCTCGGTCTCATCTGTCCATAGGATGTTGTTCCAGAACTGTGAAGGCTTTTTTAGATGTCATTTGGCAAACTCTAATCTGGCCTTCCTGTTTTTGAGGCTCACCATTGGTTTACATCTTGTGGTGAACCCTCTGTATTCACTCTGGTGAAGTCTTCTCTTGATTGGTGACTTTGACACACATACACCTACCTCCTGGAGAGTGTTCTTGATCTGGCCAACTGTGGTGAAGGGTGTTTTCTTCACCAGGGAAAGAATTCTTCGGTCATCCACCACAGTTGTATTCTGTGGTCTTCCGGGTCTTTTGGTGTTGCTGAGCTCACCGGTGCGTTCCTTCTTTTTAAGAATGTTCCAAACAGTTGTTTTGGCCACGCCTAATGTTTTTGCTATCTCTCTGATAGTTTGTTTTGTTTTTTCAGCCTAATGATGGCTTGCTTCACTGATAGTGACAGCTCTTTGGATCTCATCTTGAGAGTTGACAGAAACAGATTCCAAATGCAAATAGCACACTTGAATGAACTCTGGACCTGTTATCTGTTCATTGTAATTGGGATAATGAGGGAATAACACACACCTGGCCGTGGAACAGCTGAGAAGCCAATTGTCCCATTACTTTTGGTCCCTTAACAAGTGGGAGGCACATATGCAAACTGTTGTAATTCCTATACCATTCACCTGATTTGGATGTAAATACCCTCAAATTAAAGCTGACAGTCTGCAGTTAAAGCACATCTTGTTCGTTTCATTTCAAATCCATTGTGGTGGTGTATAGAGCCAAAAATGTTAGAATTGTGTCGATGTCCCAATATTTATGGACCTGACTGTATGTTAAAATGACTTTTTTATATGTTAAAAAAAATCTGAAAAATATATTTAAAAAATATATTTTTTTAAATATTTTTCATATATTTTGTAATATATAAAAAACGCTCCGTGTACATGAACCCTAACTTTATATATTAGAATCCTACAGAAATAAACTTTTTAAAGCTTTATTAAATTGATGCTTTATCATTCCGATGCAAGATTGCATAGAAAATAGGGCCACGGACCAATTAGCATGCAAGAAAAGTTACAAAATAGCAGAATAAGCTTGGGTACTGATTAAAAAAAAACAAAAAGAGGTCCACTTTGGTAGGGCAGCCCAATGAAATAAATGGCCTGCCTCACCTGCATAAAACGTGTGACACAAGCGTGAACCAAGCCTAAGGGTTCTTTCAGGCATGCAGTAAGCTACAGCCTTCTGAAAATTGATCCGATAACAAGTGAAGCCTGTTTTTTTGGTCCCCCCCCTTTTTTTTTTTTTACATTTTGGAACAGCCACACACATCTGTGAGCCAAGCATAAATAGATTGTTTAGGCCAGTTCTTCTCAAGGTTCCTCCAGAGATTTGCTAGGGATTCCTTGAGCTGTGGCTGACTGATCTCCCATTTGATGGTCCCTGAATAATCCTGGGGCCACTTGGAAGAGCCAACTGCATGAAAACAATGAACTTTTTAGCCTCTGTAGAGGGTGCATTCTGACCACTACTGTAAGGGAGCATTCTTCCCACTGACCACCAATGTAAGAAGGCATTCTTCCTACTGCTCACCAATGTAAGGGGAATTTTTCTCAATAATCACCAAAGTAAGGGGAATTCTTCTGGGGTCAACGCCACTTGGAAGAGCCAACTGCATGAAATCAATGAACTTTTTAGCCTCTGTAGAGGGTGCATTCTAACCACTACTGTAGGGGGGCATTATTCCCACTGACCACCAATGTAAGAAGGCATTCTTCCTACTGCTCACCAATGTAAGGGGAATTATTCTCAATAATCACCAAAGTAAGGGGAATTCTTCTGGGGTCAACGCCGCTCGAAAGAGCCAACTTCATGAAGCCAATTAACTTTTTAGCTGTCTGTAGAGGTTGCGGTGTGGCCCCATTGATTCCAATGAGTGATCTTGACAGACCGTGCTAGCTATCAAACTCTGCAGCTGGAGCTAACATTGACAGGGCCATAAAGCAAAGCATTATGGGTTGCATGTGTACAGCCTTGTAATGTCAGGTGGGCAACCTGTTTTTACTGCCCCCTGACTAAACGTGTAAAAAAAAGCATTTAGAGCCCGGTGCATCCCAGTTCAATGGTCTCAGAGCAGATCTGGGATGTTCCTCCTGCTTCTGTTCTCCATCCCGACACCATGGTTTCGGGCTCTTCGGAGGAATGGAACAGCCCTGGGACCATAGCAGGCAGGGGGGGAGGGTGGCAGGTTTGCATTTATAGACTCTAGCTGGCTGAAGATAAATGATACCAAGCTCACAGCTACTGCTCCAACCACGAGTTTGTTTTAACCACCATAACTGCCCTATAGATGGTAATTGGATAAAGAAAGACTATGTGAATTAGTAACCAATTTTTCAGGGTCAACATACACTTGAAAATAAAGAATGCAAGGGCATGCGAAGGTGTTGTCCATAACAGCCAACCAACCAGATATCGTGCTTCACTTTCTAAACTACAGTAGCAAGGTGAGATCTGAATTTGATTGGTTACTAAGGGCAACACCTACTTCCCCTTCACTGGTTTTATAGGAGAACTTTGTCGCCTGACCGTGGAAGGTCGTAACATTCCATTGTGTTTGTATTGGGTTGTGGGGCTTGCGTACTGTAGAATGTTTCTGTGTCATTGCAGAGCTGCTCAGTTACTTCCACATTCCTTGACACCATTCCATCTGAGAGCAAAGTATTGTCCACTCCCCCCTCCCTGCCATAGGACAGGCGCGTTGCTTGTTTTAGAACAGCCAAAACCAGTTATTCACTTTCAATAAACTCTCCATCCAGAGCTTCTGCAACCTTTGTGGCTAATTCCCCCACCCCCCCCCCAAGTCTACATTAACTGCAAACATATACCTTCTATCTTCTAGAGTGACCAGTGAGGAAACATGACTTTGACCGATGAGATTTTGGGTTTCCTACACCTGTCAGATAAGGTGAGTTCGTCTTATCTCTCTTTTTTTGTAATAACGTTTGTCATAGAACTGTGAACACGACGTGTCTTCTCAAATGTTAAGTGCTGAGCAGGAGAAGTCAATGACTGCCTGCTGATCGTATACAGTAGTTCTTAATTTGCCTTTATCTTGTAAAAAAAAATCATTGTATGGTTTACCTTTTCATTTGATGAGGTCCTCATTGGGCAGAGATGAAGATACAAAGTCACCATCATTCCAAATAAATGTGTTTATTGTAAAGACAGCATCACATAAGGCTTAAGACAAACATTTCATGGCCTTGCAGGGTCCCATTGACCTATCACTACATTTCCTTGAGAAAGGGACCTTGTGAGGACCCGAAATGTTGGTTTCTTATGCATTATGTGACGCTGTCTTCACAATAAACTTGTGGAACACATTCCTTTGAAGTGCTGGTGGCTTTGCATCTTCATGCCTGGTTTTGACACTGCACCATCCATGGCATCCACTTTAAGAACCCAACAGTAAAAGCTTCAGTACTGTGAGGAGTGCTGCTTCTAACCTGACTTTACCATCTGGCAGGGGATACTTCTTTTGACCTACACTTTACCCTAGACTTTCTCAGCCTTTTCGACACAGAGGAACCCTTGAAATAGCTTTCCAGTCTCAGGGAACCCCTGGTAAAGAGGACAATATCTACAATTCATGATATATTAGGGTGATGGTCATTAGGAAAAGTGTTCCTTACACTTGTGGTCATTGGGAGGAATTACACCTTACAGAAAGCTAAAAAGATTAATGGTGTTAGTAGGAACTTATCTGAGAGGCAGAAATTGCTCAAGGAAGCCTTAGCAACCTCTGGAGGAACCCTGTTTGAGAAAACCCCGCCCTAGTGACGTAAGAGTGAGTCTGCAAACTACAACCCCATGTGTGCAATCTGCAGGAAACTGCATGGTATGGTCTATGGGACCCTTTTTTTGACAGTTTCTTTTACAGTGTCAGCATAAGGGTAAATGTTAGACTGTTCAGTCATTGCCTTAGCAAACTGTGGAGTTGCTTAGTGCCAATGACAGAAGCCAACACTGCCAGAAGACCGATGTTCTTTAAAGCTGAACTCTGAGAAGATACATGACCAGACAGAAGCCTTCACTGCCAGAAGACTGATGTTCTTTAAAGCTGAACTCTGAGAAGATACATGATCAGACAGAAGCAACAACTGCCAGAAGAACAATGTTCTTTAAAGCTGAACTCTGGGAAGATACATGACCAGACAGAAGCCTTCACTGCCAGAGGACTGATGTTCTTTAAAGCTGAACTCTGAGAAGATACATGACCAGGCAGAAGCCACAACTGGCAGAAGAACAATGTTCTTTAAAGCTGAACTCTGAGAAGATACATGACTTGGCAGAAGACAAGTTTACCAACAATCAGGGCTGTCTAATTGAAAACTAAGTAAATAGACTGTTTAAGCCAGTTCTTCTCAACAAAGGTTCCTCCAGAGGTTTGCTAGGGATTCCTTGAGTTGTGGCTGGTTAACCTCCCATTGGATGGTCACTGCATAATTCTGGGGTCAACGCCACTTGGAAGAGCCAACTGCATGAAGCCAATTAACTTTTTAGCTGTCTGTAGAGGTTGAATTCTAACTACTACTGTAAAGGGCATTCTTCCCATTGACCACCAATGTAAGAAGGCATTCTTCCCACCCACTGATGTAAGGGACATTCTTCTCAATGAGCACCAAAGTAAGGGGCATTCTTCCTACTGATCACCAATGTAAGGGGAATTCTTCTCAATGATCACCAAAGTAAGGGGAATTCTTCACACTGACCACCAATGTAAGGAACATTCTTCCCACTGACCACCAATGTAAGGAACATTCTTCCCACTGACCACCAATGTGAGAAGGTATTCTTTCCACTGATCACCAATGTAAAGGGAATTTTTCTCAATGATCAACAAAGTAAGGGGCATTCTTCTCACTGACCACCAATGTAAGGAACATTCTTCCCACTGACCACCAATTCAAGGAACATTCTTCCCACTGACCATCAATGTAAGGGGACGTTCTTCCCACTGACCACCAATGCAAGGAACATTCTTCCCACTGACCACCAATGTACGGAACATTCTTCCCACTGACCACCAATGCAAGGAACATTCTTCCCACTGACCATCAATGTAAGGGGGCATTCTTCCCACTGACCACCAATGTAAGATACACTCATTCCACTAAACACCAATGTAAGGGGGGCATTCGTCTCCCTGACCACCAATGTACTGTATGGGGCATTCTTCTCAATGACCACCAATGTAAGGGGCATTTTGCCCACTGACCACCAATAAATTGGTTTTAGCAGGGGTCGCCCAACCTGCACGTTCAATTTTAAGAATGTGATGAATGGAGGAAGATTCATTATAGGTCACATTTTACTATGCTCTCTTCCTCATGTTTCTTTCTCTTTGAACTCCCTTAAGCAATTACGCACAAAATGTTGAGGCTGCAAAATACATTCATACTAGAAAATACACCTGGAATAGTAAAGTAAAACAACACCTCGCCCCATCAGAGTCCTTTTCACATTTCCTGGCTTTGGTAAAAACCTGCAATGTTATTGCCCATCAATTCATGGCTCTATGTGTGCTGCCTCATGATATCATTGGTTATCAATGGCACCCAGGGGCAGACTGACCATTTGGAAACTCAGGCACTGCCCGAGGGCCCGGGGTCAGTAGGGGGCCCCATGAGGTGCCCCTGGTACCTTTTTCATAGGCTTTTTTGAGTTTGGGCAAGGACACAGGGGCCCCATGATCCCCTATTGCCCGGGGGCCCCATGAATTGTCAGTCCACCCCTGATGGCACCCCATCAATGGCAGCATCTGCCAACGCACCACGCCTGGCATTGCACCATTCAGGGCCACGTCCATGAATTGCTCCATTGAGCCGCCCTGTACTTTTTCTACTTTACAGCTTCTCTCTCTCTCCAAGCCTGTCCATCAGTTCTAGACTTCCAATGGTATTTATAGGGAAATCTCCCAAATTGTTTTGTAGCAACATTGACTTATTGCCACTATGGATACCCAACACCCAACTACAACAATATTTAAAATAAGGGAACAGTAAAAAAAGCAACAATTTAACCATTAAAATGAAAATTATTGTCAGATCAATGTTGAGTATTAGAACTATATAGGTTACGGTGAGAAGGAACTAAATCAGTCAAAATGCTGTAGAACCGAATCAGTGTGTAGCCTTCTAAAAGTGGTTGTAAACCTCAGACAGGAACAAAGCATATCCCTCTATAGTGTGTACTTGTCTCAATCCAGAGCACTAGGTGTTATTTCTGTCTGCTGCTTCATTCCTCCGCTATCAGCATAAGTCTCTTCGGACAAGTTGTCCTGACACCAAAAGAAAAATGGTGACAAGGAAGGGAGCTCCACACACTGCCTGTGATTGACAGCCTCTGCTATTATATTGTTCGTGCTGTGTGAAGGGGAAGGGTGTCCATTCCCTTCAATCAGCTCTCAGGCCCCATTCATACCTGTGCGTTTTGTAGCATTTTGTTTGAAGTTCGAAAATGCTTAAGGAGAAAAAAAAAATCAAGAGAAAGTTCTGTAGCTCCAATCGGGCAGACTGATGCGCTTTTGTCGCGTTTTCATTCCCATAGAAATACATGGAAATGCACAAATCGCACGTTTTCATGTGCTTTAGCACGTTTTGTCGTGTTACCAAGAGCATTTTTCTGGCATGGCAAAACAATGACATTTCAACAATTGATGTCACAGATGAAATGTTTCTCTATTCTCTAATACAAAAACACCAGAAGTCCGAAAACGTCTGAACAAATTGCGCATAAATGTTCACAAACGCGCATAAAACATGCAAAAAAAAACGCTATGCTGAACCCATTGATTGGGCTGCTGTGCTCAAGTTTTTTTGGCGCGGGGATGACTGTAACTCAGGGCTTCACCCATGCTGATAGAGGAGATTTCCACCCAGGAGCTCCACCAAGGAGCTTGTGGGAGTTCACAGAGCTTGGCAAGTCCTGGTCTTGGTCCTAGATCCCAGAGGAGGGTGAATGGGGCCTCAGAGCTCTCCTCCCTGACCTCTGTAGTGTGTAATTTCAGCTCCCTGTCCCCTATTTTCTGACAGCTCAGCAAAGCTGTATAAATTCTGCACTTTGAATGTCTGTAGAGAAGAGATCGCTTCAGGTAAACAGGTACAACTTATGCAGGAAGATTTGTTTAATTTCTGGGTATCACCAGGGGCCAGTCACTTCAATGGACATGTGTAAGGATTTACCAGCACTTTAAGACCCCGTTCACATAAGGCAATTTGAAAGTGCGCGCAGAATTGCTGCAATTCTGCCTGCGATTCTAAATCACAGCAGAACACGAAACATGCCCTTGGGTGCCATTGTTCTTTAATTGCTCCCTAAACGTGGTGCATTTCTGTGACGACTGTCATGTGACGGAATTGCACACCGCGCGTTTAAAAATCATGCTAAGCTGGTCTCCCATAAAGGAGCAGGAGCTTCTTGCACACAGCAGCCTATCGGAGTGATTTCTGCACGCAAATCGCACTTTAACCACTTCCCGACTGTGGTACAGCCAAAAGATGGCTACAGCGCGGTCGGCTAGTTCTGGAAGGGCGTCCATGGGCATCCTCCCAGAACCACACAACCCTCGTGCGCGATCATCACATGTCACAGCTGGTCATGTGTCCAAGTAAAGGGCCAATCAGAGCCGCCTTTTACCATGTGACCGGCTGTGTCCAATCACAGCTGATCGGAAATGCCAGTTATCGGCAGTCTTCAACTCACTCTTACAGCCGGTAAGTGGACATCAGTGCCCATCAGTGCTGCCAATAGTGCTCATTAGTGCCTATCTGTGTTGGCTTTCAGTGCCGCCTATCAGTGCCCATCAGTGCCACCTATCAGTGCCACCTATCAGTGGAGCCACATCAGTGCTCATCTGTGCTGGCTTTTGGTGCCCATTAGTGCTGCCTATCAGTGTCCATCAGTGCCACCTATCAGTGATGCCCATCAGTGCTGCCTATCAGTGCCCATCAGTGCTGGCTATCAGTGCCCATCAGTGCTGGCTATCAGTGCCACATATCAGTGAAGCCTCATCAGTGCCCATCAGTGCAGCCTATCAATGCCCATCTATGCTGGCTTTCAGTGCCCATCTGTGCTGGCTGTCAATGCCCATCAGTGCTGCCTATCAGTGCCCATCAGTGTTGCATATCATTGCAGTGTCATCAGTGCCTCTTCATCAATGCCCACCAGTGCAGCGTCATCAGTGCTGCCTCATCAATGAAGCCTATCATTGCTGCCTATCAGTGCCCCCTCATCAGTACTGCCTATCAATGCCCATGAGTGTTGCCTATCAGTGCCCATCAGTGCTGCCTATCAGTGTCCATCAGTGTCGCAAATCAGTGTAACATCATCAGTGCCTCTTCATCAGTGCTGCTTCATCAATGCAGCCTATCAGTGCCCATCAGGGCTGCCTATCAGTGCCCATCAGTGTTGCATATCAGTGCAGCATCATCAGTGCCTCCTCATCAGTGCTGCCTCATCAATGCAGCCTATCAGTGCCCAGCAGTGCTGCCTATCAGTGCCCCCTCATCAGTGTCCATCAGTGCTGCCTATCAGTGCCCATCAGTGTCGCATATCAGTGCAGCATCATCAGTGCCTCCTCATCAGTGCTGCCTCAGCAGTGCAGCCTATCAGTGTCCATCAGTGCTGCCTATTGCTGCTGTTAGAAACCACGGGGGCCCTATACAGCCAACCTGACAGCCCCTCCCTCTCCCCAAAAAAACCACAATTTACTATGCTTCTTTTGTGAATGAACACAGTGAATGATCGGTACTGATCACTCGTGTTCATTCAGGTAAGGAAAGGGCTGGTAAATGTGACATATTTACTACACCCTTCTCCCACTGTCCATACTGAAGGACCCGGGGGGGGGGGGGGGGGGTCTGAGCAACAGGGAGAAAAGTATTGTGCATGGGGAGAGTGATGGGTGCGGAGGGGAAATTACTGGAACCAATCCCCTGTATGGCTCCCTGCAGCAGCTGAAAGCCAGCAGGAGGAAGAGGACAGCTGCTGCAGAGAGAGCCATGCAGGGGATTGGTTCCAGTAATTCCCCCCCACCCAGGGGCGTCCCTAGGGATGGTGTCACCCGGTGTGATAACACTTGGTGACACCCCCTCCGACGATCCCCGCAGAATGGATCGGATCTGCGGATTGAGCATAATGGATCGGAGTCCGATCCATTATGCTCCCCAATCCGCATATCCGATCCATCCCACGGGGATCATCGGCTTTCTTTACAACTTACCTTTTCTTGGGAGCGGGTCCGGTGTCACCCCATATAGGTTGCATGCCGACGATCCCCGCAGGATGGTTCGGATCTGCGGACTGAGCGCAATGGATCCGAGTGCGATCCATTATGCTCCCCAATCCGCAGATCTGATCCATCCTGCGGGGATTATCAGCTTGCTTTACAACTTACCTTTTCGTGGAGCGGGTCCAGTGTCACACTGTATAGGTTGCATGCCGACGATCCCCGCAGGATGGTTCGGATCTGCGGACTGAGCGCAATGGATCCGAGTCCGATCCATTATGCTCTTCAATCCGCAGATCCGATCCATCCTGCGGGGATCGTCGGCTTTCTTTACAACTTACCTTTTCGTGGAGCGGGTCCGGTGTCACCCTGTGCGGTAGGTGTCACCCAGTACGGAACCCACTCTCCGCACCTGCCACTGCCCCCACTGTTATGCTGATTACCTTCCCTGCCACCACCCGCTTCACCCACTGTCTGGGCCCCCCAGTTTAAAAAAAAAAGGTGCTAACGGATGCGGACATTAACGGATGTTAAAAGATGTTCATCCGTTTACATCCGCAAGTCCATAGAAATACATGGGGGTCCATTTTTCATCCGTTTATCATGCGTTTACATCCATTTTTTCATCCGTTTTTCATCCGTTTACATCCGTTTTCACTGGTTTACATCTGTTTTTCATCCATTTTCATCTGTATACATCCATTTTTTTTACGTTTACATTCATTGACATCCATTGTTAGTCTGTTCTAGGTTTTTTTGCAGAAGAAAAATAGGGGTTTCTTCTGTTAAAAAAAATGGATGTTAACGGATGCGGACATTAA